CCTGTGTTGTGGATGCGTTTACAAACATACAATATCACAGATACATGACACCTAGACTCGGAACAACAATCTGTGGATCACACAAGAATTGTGCGGGAATCGAACCCGCTACACGGCAGCCAGTTGCCCAACCACCGCGCCAACCGTGCAGTCAATATAACTACTTTCTATATTATTTTAAAAAGTAAAAACGCGTCTACGTTATTATAATAACATTAAATTACGTACTGTTTCCAAAATGAGATCAAACCCTTAGGTAAGTAAATGATATCTACTTATCAAACTAAGTATTGATGGAAATGGAACATTTAAAAAATACTTCTATTTTATAACCACTTTACTAATTCCATTAAAACCTAAGTGTTGTAAACCTCGAAGTGGGAAATTGAAGACAGATTTGTTCGAATATTTTTTTCGGTTGGCAACCAAAACTCAATTCGTCTACATCAGTCATTTGTCAAAGTGAGTTATTTCGCGCCTAAAGTTACAAATCCGGGGATATCTAGACATCTGTCCGATGGAGTTCGTTTGGGACGATAATGTTTTATTTGTAAGTTTCATTTCTTTTCTTTTCTGCTTTTTTTACTTATACCAGAGTAAAGAAATTCGATATTAATTTGAAAGATTACTGCTGAAAGTTTGTTATCTTAGGTAGATAGCCAGAGTATTTTTTGCAATGATATCTAATCATCAGGACTAGCCATCTGAACTTTATTTAAGAAGGCTATGTCCACTGTCCAGTTACTGAGATGACGATGAGTGACATCGGATTTAGTTCTGTCCGTTATATGATAGAAAATTTTAATTCATTATAAACATAAAAATAGTGACATCCTCACTGTACACAAGACTCCTACTCGTTAAAAAAATGAGCCGCGAAGGAATTAAAGGGTGGCCGAGGCTCCGTCTCGAAGGGCAGGAGCAGGAACGGGGTGGTTTTTAGAAGTCATTCGATGAACATCCCCCCTTAAAAGAAACTCGTCAAAAATGAATAATTAAGTATGTAAAATTTTGTTATTCAGTTGATTAAAACTTACGTCGACCTTGAAATCTTCTGAGTAAAATAAATAAAATAATATAACAAAAATAACATATTATTATCGTCTTCTCTGAGTAATTCACTGGAAAATAAGACCCAATTCGAGGGTGTCGCTAGTTTTTTTTTATACATAAAACAGTATCGTCTGTGTCAAATCCTATAGTGCCTTTACCAATAAACCCTAACGCAATTCGAAGAGATTTCAAAAGGTTTCTTTTATCAATGCTTTCAATAACAACAACTAATGGATTGGCTCTTGTGTGATGAAGGTAGACGAAATTTATTCTGACAGTTACTTTGAATTTTATTCGATTCTCAACCTTATTACAATGGAATAGTATTTAAATGGTTTAGTGTTAATTGATTTGTTTTTTACTTATGCTTTTATTATGATCATTATAATTAAGTATTTAATTGTGGGAGAGATATGCTTCGAGACAAATGGGCCGGCTCGACCGGAGTGATACCACGGCCTGACAGAAAACCGACGTGAAACAACGCTTGCATTGTGTTTCGTCGTGTGAGTGAGGTTACCGGAAACCCAATTACCCCCTACCCTTGCTCAATCTCCTCAATCTCTAAATCCTCAACAATTTTCAAATTCTTAATCCCCAACGCACTTGTAACGCCTCTCGTGTTCCAGGTGTACATGGGCGACTTCGATTGCTTACCATCAGGTGATTCCTCCGCTCGATTACCGACTTCGCCCATAAAAAAGTCTTGGATAACGAATATACTCATAGACTGACTTTTTGTATATGTATTTGATTGATAAAAAGGAGTAAAAAAGTGTTTGCGAGCTCTACTGCCTGAGTAAATGTCGTGGTGGCCCGGAGGTTTAAGACGCCCGCTTCTCATGCATGAGGGTGTGGGTTCGAAACCTACCAACGGCAAGTACCAATGTAACTTTTTCCGAGTTATATGTACTTTCTAAGATTATTCAGACACCACTTAAAAAAACATCATGAGGAAACCTGGGCTTATAATTTCTAAGTTGGTAATCGCCAACCCGCATTGAGCAAGCGTGGTGATTAATGCTCAAACCTTCTCCGTGTGAGAAGAAGCTTTGCTCAGCAGTGGGCATTTATAGGCTGTTGATGAGTGATGATGATGACTGCCTGAGTAAAGGGTTTTGATCCACCATACAAGAGTTACATTGTACCAGTCTATATGGTTCGCCCTTACGGGAATTAAAAACCATGAGGCCATGTTTATGTTGGCAACCGGAATAGCCTTCAACAAAAAATATTTTTTCTAATTCTCTTCCCATGTTGACAAGCAAATAGCTCCTAAGAGACACGCATAAACAGACATCGTATGATCCCCAAGAGATGACCACACACACACACAATACAAAAACCAGTATAAACTGACCCGTGAATGTTCGGAAAGACCATATAAAGTGAGACCATGTTTGACTGGTTATGTATAGCTTGATGTGTCCATCGCTACAGTACGGGAACGAATGTGATTAAAATGTACACAAAATTTATTTAAACTCTGGCATATATTAATGGCGTTTTGGGAATGGTGCAATGAGGTCAAAGTTTTTGGTTCCCCGGTTCGTGTTTGTGCAGTTTGATTTGTTATTTGATTATTTAGAATGGTCGTCTGCATCATCAATGAAATAAAATAGATAATTAATCTTATTCCCCTAGGTGACGACAATACTAGATCATCAGTGTAATTTTTTACATAATGGTAGATTAGGCCGAGCGGTAGCAAGTACGAGAACCTAAGATCAGGTTCGATACCCGGGTCGGGCAAAGTATTATTGAGTTTAAAAAGAAATTCGGAGTCTGGAAATGTGCCTGGTTATAAGTATATGGCAATAAACTCACCCCCTATTATATGAGACTCAACTCAACTTAAATTAAATAAACTAAAGAAAAATATACTTCATCTCAAAAATCAACAACAGAACTATTGTACCAATAAATTCTCATGATCGTAAATTCTAATTAATGTCTTTGTTCGGAAACCTAATAAATAAGGTAAGTTTACACATGCGAACTCAATATCCGATAAGGCGTGGTGGACTGCTGAACGAATAAGCTTTTGCGTGACATGCCTAATCTGGCGTTCGTGTGTACGCTACCTTATATTAAATATACTTTTATTGAGTGCAGTTTTTACAGTACGAATTAAAGTTTTCTAATGCATTTTTGTATTGTGATAAGGTTCAGAATGCATTAAGAATGACATATTTAGGTACATATACGTATATCACTAAAATATCTATGGTACATCCTCTTAGGTAATTGACTGTTAATTTTAACACTGAATTGATGGTTTTATATTTAATAGATAAGTAATTTCGGGCAAGGGGTCGCGGGCTTGATTCCCGGGTCGGATAAAGTATTATTGGGTTTTATTTTTTAAGTCTGAGTAGTAACACGGATTCAGGAATTGTTCCCGGTATATGGCAATAGGCTCACCCCCTATTACATGGGACTCATAACATAAATAGTGAAAAGTGGGTGTTACATTGTACATTAGAATTAAGTGACGGCACATCAAGTAGATAAAAGGCGATAAGTTATGATATATAGATAAGTGATTAGATTTATTCTTTATCAACAGAAATGCTACTCCATGAATACAATAAAACTCATTTTTTTCTCAATTGTTAAACAAAGAAGAAAAAACACATTACACATACAGTTTTATTAAAATTCCTCCGGCAAAAAAGGACAAGAACAGCTGATGTCTGGTTTTTATACGAATTCTTAAGCCTTCATATTTCTTCCAGACCGTGGCCATACACACACACACAGACAACATTTCACTTAGACTTTCAAATATCTGAGTCACAATAATTCTGAAGAGTATCATCACTTTGGACTAAGTAGCCGCTCTTAACATTTTTAGGGGTCTGTGTTTTTTTTATGGCATAAGCCGGTAAACGAGCAGACGGATCCCCTGATGGTAGGCAATCGGCGTCGCCAATGGACACCCGGAACACCAGAGGCGTTACAAGTGCGTTACCGGCCTTTTGGGGATTAAGAGTTTGAGGACCGTTGGGGATTCAGGGATTGGGGAGATTGGGGAAGGGGAGGGTAATTGGGCCTCCGGTAACCTCAGTCACACGACGAAACACAACGCAAGCGTTGCGTAACGTCGGTTTTCTATGAGGCCGTGGTATCACTCCGGTCGAGCCGGATCATTCGTGCCGAAGCATGGCTCTTCCACACTTAACAAAATGAGTGAAATTAAAGTTTTAGTAACGTCACGAGAACACAAGCGTTGTCTCATGCTAGTCATTTATGACGCCGTGATATTTTTGAATGGAAACTTTTTTTTTCTTCTCCTTTTTTAATATCTTCTTATTCACTTCGTTGCGAGAACTAAGACATTTATCTATGTCCCTGGGACGCGCCGGACTTCAGTGTTCCAGTGTTTTCATGATTGTATCTACTGTAGACCCTGGCTTACAGGACTATCTAGATTACATTAAAATTCCTGTGTTTAGTTAATTCTACATTTTAGATAACAAAACTTAACAACAAATGTAAATGAGTGATATGAAAATAACTAAAATGTGTTTGTAAGTACTTCTTCCATATGATGTCTAACCACTTTTTTCTATTATAACATCACCATTTAATTCTGATCCTTACACACACTCTATTTATAGATCAAAATCCAATTAACAAATTTTCATACTGAACCCCTTTTTTGCCCGCGTTCCTTGTCGCACGGGACCTTTTTTCCACATATTTTCGTACAAAAAAGTTCATGCCAAGTGTTATATGAACTGTTATACGTGCCTCTGAGTATATTAACGTAGAACGACTGGAACAGCCATAATTTAATATTATTGTAGCAGATTTTATAGCACGTTTTGTTTATTATTCTCCAAACTGGTAAACCGAGGTGTATTTGCGTTACGGGCATTAACTTTATACCAGTTCTTTTATTAATCCCATTTAGAAGGTGATCCAAACACGTAGGCATATACATGCCTGGTACAATTCTGGAATTCTTTATCTTACTTGGTCCTGAGTCTGGACTTAGAAGTGCTACTTATTGCTTGTGAAGTTTCACAACCGAAAAAACACGCCATAAATACTTTTTGAAACTTGTAGTCTGACCTTTTTTTTAAGTGTGAGAGAGCCATGCTTCGGCGCGAATGGGTCGGTTCGACGGGAGTAATACCACGGCCTCACAGAAAACCGATGTGAAACAACGCTTGCGTTGTGTTTCGTCGTGTGAGTGAGGTTACCGGAGGCCCAATTACCCTCCCCTTCCCCAATCTCCCCAATCCCTGAATCCCCAACGATCCTCAAACTCCTTATCCCCAAAAGGCCGGTAACGCACTTGTAACGCCTCTGGTGTTCCAGGTGTCCATGGGCGACGCCGATTGCTTACCATCAGGTGATCCGTCTGATCGTTTACCGGCTAATGCCATAAAAAAACCTAGATTTTTGTATACCCAATAATTATAGTGAGATATTTCAAATTAATTTAATTTAAATGTAAGTACAGCTTACTTACAATTCTCATAAATATGAGCCCTTTTATGACCTGAAACTAGTAGAGCGTTTCACCAATACGCGTCTAACTGAGTTACGCCCGATTACTGAAAGGTTACTCAATTTTAAGTTGTACTTAAATATCGTGCCATCTCTGTCATTTTTTACTATAACTATACTTGCGCGATCCCATTTATCCCCAAACTGTCACCGGTGACCGCTCTTCACTAACTACATTATAGACCTTATTTCCGTTGGTTAGAGACTACTTTTGTATGAACAAATTTAGGGGATGATATTTCAGAGTGACGGTTGAGTATTTCGGCATAAGGCTACTACTACTTCAAAGTACCTCATTTTCTTAAGGATTCATATTCCTTTAGCTTCTATGATTGCTTCACAGAAATAGCAAAACAAATCACTTGACGAGACATTTGACAACCGGTTAAATTGAATACCTAAGCTGTAAGTAAACGCGGGTGAAACGCCGATTTGTATGTTGATGAGATTTCGCGCCGAATTCTCTGGGAAGTATTGCGATGGGGTCGTGTGACCAAATTTAGGGTAACGCTGTTCATGTAAACAAACTTTCTTATTTGACTGCCTATTTTTATTTTTATAGGGGAGATACTAGGATTTATCCTTAATACTTTTCAATTAAGCAATGTGATACATTTTAGTCTATATCGAATCGAATTGTTAAGAATTCGATTAATTTAAATTACTTCCTATTCCATTTTTTGCAGAAAACAAATAAGTTGTATGCTGGGTACATATGGAAATGGCATTTACTGCGCATAATAATTAAATCTTTACTTCATTTGTTTAAAGTTACTTGATGGGAATTCGATAGTAATGTGTAATACAAACAAAAATGTTCATCACAATCATTAATGGTTATGATCAAGCCGATTTTATCTATAATGTTACTGGTTAAGTAAAATTGCGGGTTACTCACGTGAATATACTGAGAAAAGCTCTACTAGTTCCGAACCACAGAGAGGTTCTTCCGCATGAGTGTAGTGACAGTGAGCTGCGCGACGTCGCCGCGACCGCGATACGTCACGATAGTTATTATAAAACAATACTACTGGTGTTTATAATTGTTTAAAGAGTAGATTACAGTCTTCAGTACACCATGCATCATACACACATAGGTAACTATAACAACCTCTCAATACTGAACCCCTTCTAATTTGCTTCAGGTATCTTCGACACGGACGGCGTGCACGTTCCGGGTACGGAATGTGACTTCCAATTCAGCCGGTCCGGGAGCCGTCCGACACACGGCCGGTTGTACAGTCCCCGGTACCCGTCCATCTACCCCAATAATGTGCGCTGTTCCTACCATTTCCATGCCAGGTAAGATCTCTTGAGGAATGGGTTGTGGGAGGATCTTATCGATACGTGAATGCGAGTTGACAGTTGATTAGTCGAGTATTGGCCGAATGCAAATGAATTGCTTGTGGCTTAAAATGTTTTAAAAGAAAGGTGCATTTATAAGAGTTTTGCTTTAAATGCAAAATTAAGCATTGATTTAATAGTACAATTTATGCTTGATCAATTTGACTGCACAGTTGACGCGGGGTCTGGGCTGCCGTGCAACGTGTCACGGGTTCGATTCCCGCACAGAACAACTCTTTGTGTGACCCATAGATTGTTGTTCCTAGTCTGGGTGCCATGTGTATGTGAAATCGTATGTTTGTAAACGTACCCACGACACAGGAAAAAATACTAGTGTGGGGAAACGTTTTAAATAAAAATTTAAAAAGTCTTACTTGAGTTCTTGACGAATAATGCATTAATAGTGATTTTTAAATATCCTCTTTATAAGTAAGTATAAGTCTAATCTATTGACTTACGTACTAATATTTGATTTTTATTTTCAGACCAAAGGAACGCGTGAAAATTGTGTTCGAAGAAGTTGCTCTCCAAAAAGGTGACATCAGGTTAGTTGACTATAACATGTATCGTAGAACCAGGAAATAATCACTCATTTTATATTACTACAATGAAACTAGTGTTTCCCATCAGATGAATAACAAGAGTACATATTTATGCTAGGAAAATTACTGCGTTAATAAAATACAAGATAACACAACCTCTGTATAATTCGTTGTGACCTCATCCTATTTTATAGGAGTCCAGGAAAACGAAACTATTCGCTGTTTTTAGCCAAGAATGCTCCATTTACGAAGAAAAAAGTTAATAGCATTTTTATGTAGTCGCATGTTCTTTGCCGAAATAAAAACGAAGCCACAAACGGCGCGGTCCAGAAGTACGAATTTACAGATTATTACCACCATAAAAAATATCTGCAACCCTATAAATTCGTCCACAAAAAAGCAAACACTTAACAAAATTAAGCTCAAATAAAAACACTGACGACATAATCATAAAACACTCCCGTAGCTATAATTCTCAAGCTAAAAAATCCATCTTTAAAAATAAAATTGCACGTAAAAGTAAAGTTATTCCATAAAGTCACCGTCAATATCCGAAGATCGAATGATAAAACTAGGGAGGTGCGCGTCATAATCGAATTTTCTGATCAAAAATATTGAATGTGATGACGGGCGTGCAAGGTGAAACTAGCTCCGCCAGATGGCGCTGTAGTTTCAAGACATCTTTATATTCCTGTGACCTATGCTAATAGGGAACTGCGGATATATGAAACCTAAGAGCCGGGAAGCCTTGTAATATTTCTCGAAGTTTCGCTATAGTTGATCAAACTGTATGGAACTGACATTAACCTTTGAAGTGTGAAAAATAATATTTAAATATTTATGGAAATAGAATATTATTAAAATGTTCTATAATTCAATTAAGGTTGAGAAAAAGAACGAAAAATGTGTAAGAAGTTGAACTCGAAATAACATTCGTTTAGAGACGAATATACATAAATACCATAGAAACATGCAAAAGTAGTAAAACTAAATCTACAAATATTTAATTTTAGGGTTTAAAGCAAATATAAAAGAGAAATATCCACACAATATTGTGTTAACATACGAAGGTGTTAAATTATGCAGAGCTGACCGCCAAACGATTTCGGGCTACGGTTTTTGGCTTGCTCCACCATATTCCTGCATGCGGTAATTATTTTATGAGAGATTTTAACAAAATTGTTTTATTATTATTGAAGAAGAAAATTGTTTAATATGTTCAGTGGAACGATTTAATCATCCAATTTTGGTAGAAAAGTTGGAGTATCAAGATAAAATTGCAGTTGTTTGAAAGATACCGAACGACGTTAACGCAGACTATCTATACTAATATTATAAAGAGGAAAGATTTGTACCTATTTTTGTATGTTTGTAATGAATAGGCTCAAAAAGTAGTGGGTCGATTTAAAAAATTCTTTCACCAATAGAATGCTACATTCTTCCAATTTGATATAGGCTACATTTCATTTTGAAAAAAATTAGGGATCCTTGGTAAAATTTGAACAATGTAACCGAAGGAGTAGAAAAACGAGTCTTGAAATGTCTTTCGTCGAATGCGCTGCCGAAACTATTAGCGATAGAACAAAATAATGTACAACAATATTGAAGAACATCTTATTGTCTACAAAAAACTCCGCGGTAGCATATGTCCAACTATTGTAGTTATGTCACTACAACAATCCGAATTTCCAAAAATAAATAATTGTCTACCCCGTGCAAAGCCGGGAAGGCCTGCTAGTCTGTAAATAAAGTACATGTTGCTACATACGTTATATCTATTTAATTATGAATCTAAACATATTTATAAGATATGGGAATAACTTTTATCATTTCTTATGATAATTTTTTTTAAGAAAACGTTGCCCCACACTAGGTAATTATCCATATAAATATAAGGCCTGCTAGTACAACAATATTGTAATCACAATACCCTTAGTAACCAAGAATTCGTGAATAAAAAGAATATTTTCTTTCGCAATACTTCACCTGTACTAAGAAATAATTATTCAGCCGTCAATCATTTTGTCACACATTATCATAACAAAGCGAAATAATTCAAAAATCGTATATCGTACTAACTCCCGTCAACACCATCACGACAAACAGTATTCACCCTCCAGATATATCTACTTCCCGAAATCATGCATTTCGGTTTCCCGTTTTTTCCATAAATTGACAGATTTTTCGGATAAGCCGGTAAACTAGCAGAAAATTCACCTGATTGTAGGCAATCGGCGTTGCTCATGGACACCTGGACAGAGGCATTACAAGTGCGTTACCGGTCTTTTGGAGATTAATATATTTTGAGGATTGTCGGGGATTCAGGGATTGAGGAGATTGGGGAAAGGGGGTAATCGGGCCTCCTGTAACCTCACTTAGACCTACACGACGAAACACAACACAAATATTGTTTGACGTCAATTTTTTGTGAGGCCGTGGTATCACTCTGGTCGAGCTGGCCCATTCGTGCCGAAGTATGGCTCTCCCACACTTAAAGTGATGATGGTAAAAGAAAATATATATTTGTCACCAACTCTTCCCTTCCCGTGGGATTCATAAAAGCCGATTCCGTTATAAATGGTTTTTCTTTCTTTCTTTCTTTCTTTCTTTCTATAGCGTCACTGTCCAACGAAAGACTATACGTTAGACAAAAACCGAGTGGCAGTGCTATCTGATTCTGAACCTCATAAACTGTAATCTTCAACCAGCCTGTCAAGCGTAGACACTATAGGAGATCACTATAGTCCAGGAATAGGCTTCCACAAGCTGTTAATGTTTTTCCATAACCCGGTTAACCGGAATAGTCCACCCGTAACCAATCCCTAAAGCGGGTAGTAGAGTTGGCATAATTAAATTATGGTTTTAACGGTCGACTAGTGCTCACGTTAATGAGCCCAGCTCATAAACTATACGTACTTGTTTAATTAAGCGGATAATGCATGAATGGGCCGCTTTAGGTCGCTACGTCATATCAGCCTGGAGGTCTTTTGCATAATAGTTTCGGTCAAGTGGTGCTGAGAGAAATTAAGTGGCGTGATTGCTTTAAAAATTTAGCTAGATTGTTTGGTTATAATTATAATGAATCCAGATGCAGACAAATGATTACATTTCCTTGAAATGTGTATTACATATATTGGGTTATTTACAGCGCATAACATTTAACCAGTAGTTTAAGCATCATAACTACACAATAAGATCAACCCTGCTAGCATCAACAGCCCCGAGTTCATCAACTGCTGGGCAAAGCCTCTTCAATAGCACGCCACTGAGCTCGAACTTTAGCTCTTCTCATCCAACCACTGCCAGCCATCTTGTTGATATCGTCACTCCACCTAACTAGAGGACTATCTCTGCTATACAAATCTCAAGTCATCTCAGCCCTTTGTGTCTTGTTCTACATAAATATCATAGTAGAAAAAATGTCTGCTTAGTCAAACTAATCAACACCTCTTCTACAATAATAAATTTTAATGTATGAACACATATTAGACAGCACAATACCACCTCTGAAACAGCTATAGCAGTAGGTATTATGTGAAATTAATCCCGTGCCCTAATTCCAAAATGCTTACATAATCTGTGTATACGAACCTTGACACGTGACGTAATGTCAGTCACATAGCACTACTGAATAATTATTGTTTACACCTAGATTAGAAACAGGCTTCTTTTGTGTAATTATTTGGTAGATTATATACGAGATGGTAATCAAACTTTGGACTCAAACTCTTTCGTCATAAGTTTCATTCTTAAATAGTCTCTCCAGAAAGGTGAACTGAAGGGCAGATACAATTGTTACAGATGTCGGACATAATCCCATAATAAGCACTTACCCTTATGATTTTTAAAATAATTCAAAACTCACGAATTCGGTTACCTAAATGGCAATCGCATTCTAAACTTCTTTTTGTGCATTCTCAATTTTATTAATGAAATAGGCATTAAAACCGGCTTAGCACTAAAGCATCGTCACACCTCTACAAATACATCTACAGGTTGATCAAAAATCACTCCACATTTTTCTAGTCTTTGCCAATCAATACGGTGGAGCCATAAATAAATGATGCAAAACTGAATATTTTACCAGCTTGTACGCCCCGGGCGTTGACATCGGCAACATGAAACACCTTGTAAAGGAATTTGCTCCAACTAATCCGTTTAAGGGTGAGACCGTAATAGATTTAGTGGCAAACTAGTTTAAGGAAAATTTTACTTGTTCATAAATATGTTAGCAAATAGCAGGTAAATATTCGATGGAAAATTTGATGTACCAAAATACTTAGTGTGGGGTCCAGGGCCATACAAAAATTGTAATCTGAAGCTTTTTGTCAATTAACATAACAAGTGTGAGAGAGTCATGCTTCGGCACGAATGGGCGTCTCGACCGGAGTGATACCACGACCTCACAGAAAATCGACGTGAACCAACGCTTGCGTTGTGTTTCTTCGTGTGAGTGATGTTAACGGAGGCCCAATTACCCTAGTCCCCGTTCCTAGTCCCTGACCCTAGTCCCCGTCTCCCGAATCCCCGAATCCTCCACAATTATCAAATTCCCAATTCCCAAAAGGCCGGTAACGCACTTGTAACGCCTTGGTTTTTCGAGTGTCCATGGGCGGTGCCGATTGCTTACCATCAGGTGATTCGTCTGCTCGTTTACCGGCTTATGCTATAAAAAAAAACATGTTGTTATTTTATTCTTCAACATATTGTGACTTTTCATACTTTGCTTTAAGAGCGAAATTATTATTTGATCAGATAACAGTGAATTTTGGCCTGGGTATCCCAAATCTTGGTAAGACCTTGTTTTAAAGTATACATTTTAAAAAAAAACATATTTCTAGCCTACAAAGGTTCTGAATTAACATAAAACTGACCACTACTTAACACGTTAATATTAAAACTAGTAATTCAACAGAACATCGGTCACGCTGTTGGTTGCATTTTACAATAAATTATGTGTGGTTTCACAAAACAGTTTTGACCCAATTGCGTCGATGGTTTGTATAAAACCATTCTACATTTGTGAATTGTACACTCCTATACATTGCTAGGACAGTCCTTAACATAACTTCAGTTAACTGAGAACATTCTTAAGAAGGAATTCCGTAGGGTCAGTGCATCTTGACTAACTAAATTAACCGAAACTGAATTACTTGTGTAGTAATATTTCATGGTGATTGCACGGTTGGCGCGGTGGTTGGGCAACTGGCTGCCGCGCAACGTGTCGCTTTATCGATTCCTGCATGGAACAACTCTTTGTGTGATCCACAGATCGTTGTTTCGGGTATGGGTGTCATGTGTATGTGAACTTATATGTTTGTAGACGCACCCACGATACAGGAGGAAATCCTAATGGAAAGCAATATTAAAAAAAATACTATCAATAATAAAGTGTTTCGTTACGGCTGATTTTAATTGAAGAATAGATTTCGGTTAATATAATGTTCCGGGCCTTACTTATTCATCATTAAAACGTTTAGTCTATAAACAGACGAATCTTCTGTAGTCATTCCCTAGTTCCCAAAAGATCAAACAAAAACATTTCACACAAAAGCAAATGCACGAACACAAATCTTTTACCTACTCCAATTTATTTTTATCTAGCATTCACAAAAATGCAACTTAAAACTTTAATTAAAAGATAGAACGGGAGATTTATTCGTTGCACAAAACGAAATTTAAAATAAAGTCCTCACCCTACTTACTGGAACTCACTTAAAAGTCCTCAAGGAGGTACTTGTTAGTAAAGTGCATTAAACATATAATTACGTTGCAGTACCTGAGTTTGTCAACATTACATTAACATAATGACGAGACTTTGTACTGTTTTTATAACACACCTATTTTATGCTTCAAAAGAAAAGACTAGTGACACGAAACAGCTTCAATTCGATGTATGATAATGTCGCGTGATTAGACTTCAACATAAATAACACTCAATATTCGACAACTCTATAGTTCCTATTATTTGAGAATTATTTATTTAAAAAAATAAATCAATTAGTAAACACAAAAACTTCCATAAGATGTAACAATAGTTCAATTATAGTAATAATAATACTAACATCATTTATCGACTTACTTTAAAATAATCCTTACTAATGTTATAAATCTGAAAGTGGGTTTGTTTGTTTGTTTGTTTGTTTCACCTTCACGCCGTAACTACTCAACCGATTGCTTTGAATTTTTGCAGACGTAAAGTTAGAAGTCCGGATTAAATAATAGGGTACTTTTTAACCCGGAAAAATTGATATTCCCGAGGAAAAACAAAAGTATTGGTATAGATGGCGCTGTGTGTATTAGTATATGTCACATAGGCTACTTTTTATTCTTTTGTGACGCGAGCGAAGAAGCGGGTAAAAGCTAGTCAAAGATAAATTTAGGAGTACAATTAGGTATTTTTTTTAGAGTTTATCTAAATATTCTGATACGATTAAACTAAACAACACTTTTTCTATATATTACATGCTACACAACACAACCAACTCATTCTCCCATCAACGGTTGTCCAATAAAGCAAACACGACAATTTGCCGTAACGAGAGAGCGCCCATAAAACGTATGACGTTGTTATACTACGACGTCATCTATGTCAGAAGCAGAACCCGGGAATATATTGCGAGAGCCTTTCAATTTCACACGGAAACTTGCCCATGGAAAAAATGGTTAAATGGCTGATTTATTTTTAAGTGTTATCGAGAAAAAGTTAAGTGGTGAAGTAAATTGTTTTCTTTATAAAATACACAGCGTTCGTTGATGGAGTATTTCTTCTTTCTAAGTTGAATCACGACAAAAGACTACCCATTGACAGAGAAGCAGCGCTCTGCCGCAATGTTTAAAGTTTAAACTGTGATCTTCAACCCGAATGTAGGAGAGGTCCATATAACTGTGTACTTATTTGCACTGTTGGTCTAGTAGGTCAGATTAAACTAAGATATTTATTTATTTATTTATTCATCATTTATGTACACACATACAGCATAAAAGACAACATATATAAAATTGAAGTACAAAGGTACCACTTATTCCTATTGGAATTTCTTCCTAAAGACCTGTGGCACAGTATCAGTTTTACATAATATCAATTATAGAAAAAAAACACAAAAATTCTCAATTAAATATTTCTAACACTACCATCACATTTCTATCTGTGGTAATGACGTCACACAGTCACACACATACCATTTAAACCATAAATGTCGTGTTAATTATGTCATTGTGAGGTGTACCCCTACCACTACCGAGAGTACCCACAGCGGTAACCACAAACCTATAAACTGTTTGTGGTTACTGTATTGGGTACAGGAGAGAAGTTATATAAAATTAAACAGCTAACAGAATCTATATAAAAACTTTGTTTCCATCTGTAAGTACTCGATTATTTTATTGGGTTTTCGATAAGGGAAAAAGGGTTTTTGTGAAGTCAAAAATATAGAGCAAATAATGTAAGGACTTTACGACGTTATTGGTTAGCTATTAAATGCTTGCCCTTTGACATAACTACTAAAATTGTAGAAAACTAATTCCAATGAAACAAAACATCGGCGAAATTAACTAATTAAAACTCAAAAAGATGTGAACACAAACTTACTTTTACGTGTCATTCATTCTATGGAACGTTTCTACAAAACGATACAGCACTAGTTTAAATACCATGTGACCTAGTTTATCGACATATAACCAAATAAAAAATCTACTTAATACTGCACATATTTTTTGTGGGTTAAGCCGAGAAACGAGCGGACGGGTCACCTGATGGTAAGCAAAGTGATAATTTGAGGTTTGTGGGGGATTCGGGGATTGGGGAGGAAGGGGAGCAACCGGGCCTCCGGGTACCTTAGTCACACGACGAAATCCAACGCAAGCGTTGTTCCACGCCGGTTTTTTGTGAGGCCGTGGTATAACTCCGGTCGAGCCGGCTCATTCTTGCCGAAGCATGGCTCTCCCACACTTACAAAAATATCTGTGGCCACAAAAAAATTACGCATACCTAATAGAATTTAAAAACAATCGACTGTTTTACGTATAGGCAGGTAACATCTCTAGAACACGTTACACCACTAGCTTATACAGCGTGTCCTAGTTCATGTTTCTCGTAAATTAATAAAGCCTGTTTTCCCATTTCAGTTGCCTGCGCCGTGCGGATATCATCAAAGTGTTTGACGGGAGGGATACTAACTCGCCAGCCATTGCGATGCTGTGTAACGAGCTTACAGGTAGGCGTCTAGTTTTATTATTAGTTAGTAGTTGTTACATATTCGCAACTTTGTACGCACAAAAGCCAACAAAGGGAGCTGTGTGGAGTTTGCTGAGCTGAATAAGTGTTTTAAGTGTGGGAGAGCCGTGCTTAACACGAATGGGCCAGCTCGACCAGAGTTACACCACGGCCTCACAGACGTGAAACAACGCTTGCGTTACCGGAGACACAATTACCCTCCCCCCCTTCACCAATCTCCCCAATCCCTAAATCCCAACAATCCTCAAATTCTTAATCCTGAAAAGGCCGGTAACGCACTTATAATGTCTCTGGTTGTCCAGGCGTCCTTGGACGATGAGGCACTGCCCATGTAACGTATCAAAGTGTCAAAAAAATCAAATCAAGGAACTCATATTTGTCAGAGACTGGTCAACAACACTTTGATACCTTTTGATCAAAGTGATAGTGAACGCCTACCCATTTCGTATAGAGAACTGCAATCTTCAACTCACAAGCGTTAAAAGAAACTATCCCATGCAGGTTATATACGAAAAAACCAGTATTTTAGAGAATTTTCATTTGTTCTGTCAGTATAAAATCGCTTTAACAAAATCTTTTCTATCATTTGGTTCCGTATCGTGTTGCGTGCGTATTCATTTTTCATTTTAATATTTCCTTAAGAGAGGGCCTCCATGTGTAATGAAGACACCATCATCACTCCTTACCTTAAACGACATACACAGCGTATACGTAATCATCATCAACAGCCTACAAACGCCCACTGCTGAACAAATCCTCTTCTCACACGGAGAAGGTTTGAGCATTAATCACCACACTTGCTCAATCAGGGTTGGCGATTACAAACGTATAATTAGAAATTATAAGCCCAGGTTTCCTTACGATGTTTTCCTTCACCGTTTGTCAGGGGTGTCTAAATAATCTTAGAAAGTAAATATAGGTAACTCGGAAAAAGTCACATTGGTACTTGCCGTTGGTAGGTTTCGAAGCCGCATTCTCAGGCATGAGAAGCGGGCGAGTTATACCTCCGGGCCACACGACACGGTATACGTAGTATAAACCTAGAAAGCACAAACTTCACAACAACTCAACGTCCAAAGCAGTCCAGAGATATCATAACAAGATTTTATATCTCGACCTTCCCTCACAATACTAATATAAGTGATGTCGTGAAATCGGTTCGGAGATCTAATTTCACGGATGCGACGACGCGGGACATTGCATTGCTCTGCTCGGTCGCCTGGCGCATGGGAATCTTTATCCTTTTACACTACTCTGCACTTACACGATATAACGGGTTATAGATTGACTTGGGTTTGAACTAGCTTTCCTTTTAATGGCCATGGTTGCATCTACAGACATATAAATTCACATAGGTATTTAGGGACAGAGTGGAAAGTTCCCTAAGATCGGAAAAGGAGGATCCTCCGACCAGGCGAGGTGATCGTGCCTGGCGGGCTTTCTGCCCAACAGTTGTTCGTTAGGATTTTCTATCCGTGTTAAATCGAATGTAAACTTCGCATGTGCGATGTAGGATTTTAAGACGTCATCCGTTGACTTACCGGCCAAACTCGATTTCAGGAAAAACTAGTTTTGCCTAGGCCAAACTAGTTCTTCCTATACGCGTTAGGATTAACTAGTATAGCCTAGTTCAAACAAATTTGTCCTAAGCCCGATAGGATAAACCAGTTGATCCTGATATAAAGACGCACACTCTAAGATAAACTAGTATGGCTTAGTCATAATATGATAATTGCGTCTATTAAAAAAACACTGTGATTGCCTCGTTGGCCGAGTGGTCGCACATACATCGCACCAGACCTGGAACTACAATTTCTAGTCACACAAAAAGTTATTCCATGCAGATATCAATCGTAAAACCTAGGCTTGACAGTCGGTGACACAGCCACTACGTAAACCGTACAATCAACTTCATTTTTATGGGATAAGCCGGTTAATAAGTTAACGGATCACTTGATGGTAAGCAATCGGCGTCGCCCATGGACACCCGGAACACCGGAGGTGTTTTTTTATACTTGATAGGTCGACAAGTTACAAGTGCGTTACCGGCCTTTTGGGGATTAGGAATTTGACGATTGTTTGGGATTCAGGGATTGGGGAAATTGGGGAGGAAGGGGAGATTGGGCATCCAGTTACTTCACTCACTCACAACGAAACACAACGCAAGAGTTGTTTCACGTCGGTCTTCTGTGAGTCTGTTGTGGTAACACTCCGGCCGGCTGTCCCATACTTCTTTTTCATTTTTCTTCCTGGTCAAAAAACTACTTAAAACCAACGAACAAAAACTATGCAAAGGTAATTATCGAATCAAAGAAAAGTAACTAGTTTAAATGAAATCTTGCGACCAGATGGAATTCCAAGTGGTATAGAGGTAGTTTTGCAAGTATAGCTCCTATAATCTTAAATTCTGAATTTTATTTTTAACATAATAGCGGAAGGTTTTTCAAATTACTTAAAAATAAACAAAGAAGCATTTACGTAAGAAAATATTTGAAAATAAAAAAAAATTGAATAAAAATTACCTACAATGAACGTGCCAGTTAGATAATTCAAAAAATGTTCCTCATAGAATTATGGCGGAATAGAATTAGATTCAATAAGAAAATCAATTTACTTTTAGTAACATGTATTACGTTTTTCCTAGAAACCATTTTGAATTGGATCCTTTAAGCTTAGGTAAATAACATTAAACAATCGATGTTCTAGTAATATTCCTTCTGGAATAAAATTGTGTTTTGATATAATAAAGTTTCTTACTATTTGAATTATTTCACTCGGGAATGAGTAGTTTTTACATACGGTAGGTACCTACTTAAGTGGATACGTTTATGAAAGTTTTTGATTGTTTTAGTGTAGTGTGTTATTAATGTTTTTTTTTTTACTTATTCGGTAATGGTATTATGCTTAATATGCTGGAATGAAACGAAAGTATTAAAACTACATTACCTAGTCAAACTGCGAACTATTTCAACGTGCAAGAGGATATCGAATATAGAAAAGCAAACAGTTTGAATTTCAACTGAAATAAGTAACGCATGTACTTAATTAATAAAATTCTAATTTTATATTTTTCAATTTAAATACTTAGGTATTTTATTAATAAAATTCTAATTTCATATTTTTTATTTAAATATCTAATCTTTTTTCCTATAAGGGTGCGTCTACATTTAACGAATGCTCCGCGAATGCACAGTTCGCGAGCAATACGCGAGCTGCGCGCGTGCATTGGAAATTATTATTTACTAGCTTTTACGCGCTTCGCTCGCGTCACAAAAGAATAAAAAGTAGCCTATGTGACATATACCAATACACACAGCGCCATCTATAGCAATACTTTTGTTTTTCCTCGGGAATATAATTTTTTCCGGGTTAAAAAGTACCTACCCTATTATTTAATCCGGATGTCTAACTTTACGTCTGCAAAAATTCAAAGCAATCGGTTGAGTAATTACGGCGTGATGGTGGAACAAACAAACAAACTCACTTTCAGATTTATATAGCAAGGAAGGATTATGTCAGTTGAGCGCTAAACCAATGCCGTGACTGCACGCGCGCAGCTCGCGGGCAGCCCGCGAACGTCTCGCGAGCAGACCGCGAAAGTCTCGCGAGCGGCACATTCGCCAAATGTGGACGCACCCCTAGACGTTAATGTTTATAAATACATCACACAAATACAAAAGGCTACCTGAAAATCTAAAATAGACTTACCTCATCTTACTATAGAAGCTAGTTTAGTATGTACTATACTCTCTGTCGTATCGGCTGTCACCTAGCCTCTAGCTACTACGGCCAACAGCCCCTTTTTGAATGAATAATACCGCGTCAAAGTAGTACCGATTTTGGAGATAGGGATGCTACCTGAGGTTGTAATAAAGATACTTTATCTTTAACATTAATGTTTTTTAACCTGAAACTCATACCGTGTTTAACTTGACCCTATGAATGAAAATTTTAGTAAAAATGTGTTTAAGTGTGGGAGAGCCATGCTTCGGCATGAATGGGCCGGCTTGACCGGAGTGATACCACGACCTCACAGAAAACCGATGTGAAACAACGCTTGCGTTGTGTTTCGTCGTGTGAGTGAGGTTACCGGAGGCCCAAGTACCCCCTCCATAGGCCCCGTCCCCCGAATCCCCGAATCCTCCACAATCCTCAAATTCCCAATTCCCAAAAGGATGGTAACGCACTTGTAACGCCTTGGTGTTTCGAGTGTCCATAGGCGGCGCCGATTGCTCACCATCAGGTGATCCGTCTGCTCGTTTACCGGCCTATGCTATAAAAAAAATGTGAATTTGCGTAGATGACGAAGGTCACCCAACAGTTAATCAAATTCTTGGTTTTGTTATTCTTGGTAACCCTATACGCCTTCTATACTGCTTCCGTAGTAGGTACCGTGATTGCAGTCCATGCCAAATATCCAGGATCTAAATATTCAAACAATAGCCGCTATATTTCCAGACAAAATTCAAGATGTCCATTATGAATTATTATCACCCTTTCCATTATTTACCAAAATATATAATTAATCTTGTCTTGTCAGGTCTATTCAAAAAGTTTTAATAGTGAATTATAGGTGTTAGGGGCTTAAAGTCAGCAGTCTTAGAGACAAAGAAACTGAAGACCTGTGAACGTTGACATTTCAATTAAAATAGAGTCGTATTTATGAAGAGTCTAGTATAGGCAGTCTGGGATAAATACGTACTTAATACAAATAACCTAAGTAACGTAGGTGATTTTATTCTGGACGACCTGCTTGAAAAAAGTATTGTAAATAAGGGCAGTAAATTTTTGGTATTGATGCTTTCTACAACCTATGATGATGGTGATGATGCATGTTGAGATAAATTCTTTGTTACATTATATAAGTTTAAGTAAAAGTAAGTATATGTAAAAATGTAAAAAGTAGGTATGTAAAAAATCTTGGCAATTGGCGTTCCATACTCTATGGCAGAAAGGCGTGAGGTTATATATGTATGTATG